ATATCTGCCTTTTAGTCCAACATTATGCAGTTTTTTTTTTATTTTTACGTTTGTTTCTTTTGTAAATTTCTGATTAAACCTGTTTTCCACCTTGTAACTGAGAATAACAGTCAGGTGGGGAGGAGGACAGCTGTAATCTCTGTCTCCTCAGTTCATCTCAGACCACTAGTGGCAACTCTGAACCACTTCAGTCCTCTGGAGCAGTCTGAACTTTTGAGAGTAAGAGTGATTCTTAGACTTAATAAGATAACTGGTACTTACACTTAAGTCTGAGAGTAGGAGCAAATCTAAGAACTTTTCAGCACTTAAGTCTAAAAATCCACTCTAAGAAGTTTTATAAATACAGGTCCTGGTTGTTTAATTATCCTGAGGCACTTTGATATCTTGTCTGATCTGCAGTAAAATTAAAGGACTAATTTTAAGTTAGTAATAAAATTACTAACCCTTAACCTAACCAGATTTTAAATAACTATTCTATCCAAAGTGACAAAACTTTATAGTTTCTCAAACTGGTTCATAACATCAAGTCTACTTTATTAACTTTTACCTTTAAACTATTGTCTAAGCCATTATTACTTTTTTTGTCTTTTATGTTATTTTTTTTTATTATTCTAGAAAGTTTATTCTATTTTTGTTATAAATTTCTAAAAAGACAAAGTTGGTTTCGTCTTCATAGAGCAGTTTATAAAAAGAGGTCACACTCTGGTGTATGAGTGTGACCTCTAAAAGGGTGGATAAATCAGTAAACCAGGTAAAACTAGGGCTGAAACAATTCCTCGAGTAATTCGAGTAATTCAATTACAGAAAATCCTCGAGGCAAATTTATCTGCCTCGAAGCTTCGTAAAAAATACATACTGTTATAATCAGCGCACTTTCATCTGCCCGGAATGTTATTTGTGTTACACACAATGCTACGATGTTAGCGCTTCTGCTAACAGTTACACTGTCGACGCGTCACGCGCGTATGCTTGCTAAGCGTTATACAGTAGCTAAACAAAGAGTGCCGAAACAAAGCGCCCAAAAGATGACAAATTATAAAAAGCATGGGAACATTTAAAACTAAACAGAAAAGACGACAACGCGCAATACGCGTCACATCCTCGGTGTTTCTGCACCGGAACCAAAACACCGAACAAGTCTGGAGTTAACAACAGGTATCGTTCACGTTCCCTTTGCAAAATACGGTTATCTAAATCTGTGATAATCTGTCATGTTACACATGTACAAGGAGGAGGTATATTTTGGCTAACATTATTTGTGCTGACTAATCATGGTGACCTGGCAGGGTTTTATTAAACAGTGTGTAAGTTGTGTGATTAAAAACAATACTTACTGTAAGTTTGTCAGATAAAAATAAAAGCACAGAAACAGATCGACAGCTTGAGCTGAAACATGTTAATTTGTTGATATGTTTTTATCTTAGTTTAAATGAGATACTTGGAGTAAATGTTTAAAGTTAAAAAATATTTACAGAAGATAGTTGGCTTTCTTTAATTATTTGCTGCTGCTCTTTATGAT